ATCACAACAAAATAATCTAAATATTAATGTAATAGATGCCAATTGTATATATACCTGCAAACAGTAGCATTTTTAAAAAAGAAAAAAAGATGCTTAGTAAGTGAAACAATTATTAGGTACGTCTGCCACTAGACAAGTAAAATATTAAAACATTGTTTGCTCAAAGAATATTGAATTATAATAAAATTGCACATGCTCTAAATTGTTTCCATCACAAAGCCGGTGCCCAGATAAATGGTTAATGAAGTCAAACAATATTACATTTAATTGTAAACTGGACAGAATAATTTTGCATTAATGCTGTATCGGATGTTTATATACAAAGCATAGCGATAATCACGGCTGAAATCTCTTCTTCTTGAGCATTATAACTTCTTGCACACTTCAATTCTTTTTTCTTCTTAAACAAATAATGACCTAATAGGAAAATTATGCTAACTTTTTGTTGGAAATATATTAAAATAATGACCACACAGAAGCAGAAGAAATAGTGGAAGCATTTTGGTTGAACAATCACGCTTTTGCATAGTCGAACTCTTTTCCAAATTACTTTTTGATTTTTTATTCGGTTCACTATGGTCTTAATAATGAGAAAAGAATTCTTAAAAGTAGAATGATTTGTTACGTCATACACTCATTTACACTTTAGCATGAATTTTTATAGTAGAGCTATTAGTAGGGGTTAGCAGGTCCAAGGCTCCACCCAAATCCCAAGAAACAAAAACTAGAATCGGAGCTGGCCGGTTCCTAGGATTTGGAACCTGAAGTACAGGCTAGTTTTGGTTCCTAAATATTTGGAATCGAAACCTGAAACACAGGATCTGATTCTCGTTCTAGGTACCCAGGAAAATTACACAGTTACTATTCACATAAATGAAAAATATGCCTGTACTGTTCACCAAAAATTACAAGTACACCCCCAACTGTTTATAGAAATTACAAATGTATAATACAACAAATCCCTAAATTCGAAACTTGTAGCTTGTTACTACTTTGTAAATCCACTGTCATTCTCTACCGTTTCAAGTTGTTACCCAAGAACAACTCCATATACTTCACACTTCTCTTATTCGGCCAAGAATCGACAACTGACGTGTTACCACCTCTCAAAATCCATCTCACTTTTGCTTCATCAGAAAATCGATGTATCAGCTTCAAAGAAAACGTGACAACAACCGATCCATTGAACAACAAGTAACCAATACATACTAGTAGCAGGTTGCGAGTGCGAGAGTTGCTATTGCTAAATGGCAAGTAATGATCGTTTGTGCTAGAATATGTGCCCTAGAGCCAATAGCATTTTGTAAATTGACTCTATATATCATGGTATTCCATTAATAAAAGGTATTTTATTATATCATGTAAATAGTTATATATGTATTGATATATGTCCTTAGAATGATAGAATTATAACGAGGGTATCGAGCATTATAAATCTCGATTGTGAGGACCTTATGAGCACATATAGTGAGGACCTTATGAGCACATATAGTGACGACTCTAGAATTGTCCATAACCTCAATATTATCCTGACCAAGGATATATGCAATATGGTAAGACTATCATAGCGTTGAATGACCCTACTGAAAGGTAGTAACAGATCTCACGTGTCAAGGTTGTTTGGTGACAACTTGGTGCGATGCATGGGTGATTATTATTCACAAGTTTACTGGACTAGCCCATAGATGATTCCATATAGATGGTAACCCAATGTCTATGGAATACATCCTCTAACAAATGGTGGTGCATGTGATCTTTAGACTTGAGATCATCAGAGCTAGTGTGTAAATATTGGTGTAGTTTGACACTATACTAATGTAATCATATTTAGGGTTATCAGTATCGTAGTGATTGGCTATAGTAAGAAGTACACTATGGCTATAGTGGGTCGATAAATGATTCATCACTCTTGGGCACAGGAGAAATTATCTCACTAAGATTTTCAATAAGAGGCAACAACCTTAAATCTGTGGCCATAGTGGAATTGAGTTGTTACTCGAATCCTATTTCGTTTGGTCATTTGTTTGATAACTGAATACGAATAGGTTAAGGTAATTCATAATTTAAGCTGACATTATTTATGTGCTTCAAACCTTGATGAGATAATAGATGATGAAGGGATTGAATTGCACGGTAACCATACCATTAATAGGTAGCTATTTCGCCGAATCTGAATCTACTGGGTGGCCATGATGCTTTGCTAGAGGCCAATCTTAGTCTGTGTGTAATGAGACGATTAATAGGATATTAATTACGATATTACCCACTACCAATATGATAAGGAGCTTACGAGTCACACTTAGAAGACAATTTAAGGAATATTATATAAAAGGGCAATTTCGTCATTTTATGATGAAAGGGTATTTCGGTAATCTTACAGTGCAATTGAATTTGTTGAAAGATTATTGCCCATGTCGAACACACACACATACACACATATAGTCATAATGGTAGGACTAACTAATTTTATTACTATGAGAAAGTTATAACTTAATAGAAGCGTGGTTACAAAATTTTCTTATTTGACAATTCATGTTTTAGTAGTACAATATTAGGATTTCAATTTATGTTTTAATAATACTAGAATTTCAATTCAGCGCTTCTGTTGTCTACTTTTGAAACTGATTGAAGATCGTGTCTTTGAATTAATAAAGATAAATGTCCTTGATGGAATTATAAACGCAGTTGTTGCATGGTCAATTGATGTGAAGCCTAGACAATTGCCAATTATTTTAAGTATTCCAAAATTGAGACCCCCCGATGTCGATGAATTGCAAATTATAAATGAAGTGGATGAAGAGAATCAAAAAGTCATTGTAAAATTGAGTGATTAGATTCGACAACTTTACTGTACTAATCAAATGGATATTAGTGTCTTCCTATATCATTCAGATGAGCAATAGGTTATACATGCTTTAACTGAAGAAGAAATCATTGTTACAATTAGACAAGAAGAGAAAGGAAATAATCATGAGGATGATAGTACGGAAATACAAAAAGTTTCGTGCCAAGAAGCTCTAAACATTCTTGAGAAGCTAGAAATGTTTTGGCTTCAACAAAAGACGTCAATTCTAGCAAGTAATGTACTAGTAAGTTAAAAGATGTGGTAACAACTCTAAAGTGTAAATCATTATCTCTAACAACTTTAGATAAATATTTTATTTCATCTTAAATCTTTAATGTAACATAACATATATTTTTTTTTACAATATACAAATAATTATTACTAGGTAGAGACAACTTTTCTTAAGATGGGAATTAGCAAAATTATATCTTGTTACAATGTAGAATTTATTCTTATTTATAATTATCTCAAATTAGGAATAAATTTTTTTATAACTATGTAGAGTTTATTTCTATATAGAGTATCACTATAGAAAAATTTTACTCTCTCTCTCTTTATATATATATATACTACTTATTAGGGAATAAGGTAATATCTATTCCAATTAGGAATAGATGTCTATTCCATTTAAGGAATAGGATTGGAACTATTTCAATAGGCAACTAAAATCAGATTTTTTAACACAATTAAAAACCCTACCCCTTTTTCCCATTGTGAAGAGTGATTTTTTCTCTGAAAATTTCAGCCCTAAAAATCCTTGAATCACCCAATTAATTTTAGAAAAAATAATTGTGTGAACTTTTTGTCTTCGAGTGGATTACCGTAAGTTCATTCCTACACTTAGAGTGAAGCGAAATCAAATCAATCTAGAGAAGGAGCTGCCTAACGCAGGTATTATATCAAATCTGATGTGTTTTTATTTATAATAACATGTAAATAACAGAATCAATATAAGGATCACAGGCATAGGGTTTTAACTGAAAGAAAAAATTTAAATTCCGCTACGTATAACTCGATTAGAAACCCAACAGTTTGGGCCAATGAGGTTTCAAATTAATTGATCAGATCTGCATCATGGTCGCACCTAACCACGCCGCAATTTGCCATAATGCGGCCAGGCAGCGCCGCCAGGCCGCAAATCTGATGATTCTCCATGCTTGATTGTCTGGGTGGCAATGACAGTGGGGTTAGCCAAATCGGTTGTGGTAGGGGGAAACAGTATGCATCCAGAACTTGGTATGGTGGCTTCTTGGCAAAGGAGAAAACTGAATGAGTTCACCGAAAACTAATGAGGAATAGGAAATGAGAAGGAAAAGAAAGAAGATGAGGAGAAAAAAGAAAAGAAGGAAGATGATCAGGAAGATGGTAAAACCTCATTTCATTTTTTTTCCTCAATTCCAAATCACAATCTCTTATTTGAAATGCAAAATTACCCCCATTTTTTAATGATGTTTTAGTTCAATCCTGGTTCCTAATCTGGTTCCAACTCGGAACTTGGTTTCGGTTTCGGTTCCTGGGTTGATCATGGTTCCTAGGTTGATCATGGTTCCTTAAACTAGTGGAATCGATATTGTAATTGAACAGTACTGGTTCCACCTGATAGGGAACCGGAACCAGCTCTCACAAGGTCAGTTTCGGGTAGGAACCGGAATCGGAACCTCATATGCCCGCCGATTCTGATTCTACCCTAAATTCCTGCACACACCTAGCTATTAGGCGTATAAGAAGAAAATAAGATAAATTTCACTGATTGTGAATCATGAATATTTATAAATCAAGGGAGAAAAATCTGGTAACCTGAATCATGAATATTTATAAATCAAGGGAGAAAAATCTGGTAACCAATATCAGTCAAGGCTTGATTCATGAGCACAATTTGCATCACATCAGTTATGTTCTACACAACTCTTTTATTGTAACAACTCCTTTCGTCCCGTCTTTTATTATCACTTTTCTTCAGTGTCAATTTTTAGTTTTTACCGTCTTTGATTGATTGATAACCAATTTTGTTTTGCTTTGATTTGATACTGGATTTGCGACTCTAGCTAATTTGTTTCCAAAATTTTGGAGCTAATATTATAATATTTATAACAAACTATATGAATGTAACTTATTTTTTTGTAACATATCAAGTAAATTCAAACATTTACTTCCATTTTCTACAAGAAACAACATATATATGTAGCTTGTGGCCTCTTGAAATTGCTAGTAACCTAAATATTACAAAACTTTAAAATATTTTGCACAAATTAGATTTTACGTACAATACGGCCTGGCCCTTTTAAATCTCATGTGTATCAATTTCTTCATCTGATTTGGTGTAAATCTCCATCATATAATTTTATTTTCATCTTTAATTTTCTTCATCTGTTCAATTTCTTTTGATGGTATGTCTCCTTCGGTCAGTTCTTATTGTTGTTGGAAGTGTTATCGATTGGAGAGTTGATAACAATCTCGGTCGACTGAGATTCTCCAGAGCCTTCCGATGGAATTAACTGAGTTCTCTTCTTCATCTCCTTTGCTTTTCCCCACAGCACCACATATAGCCCACATATGATCAAGCTTGCCCCTAATATGCTGAACCAATTTGCGAAAGTGCTCACAAGTATGATATATTTTCTTGGAAAAATAATGTGATCGACACAAAACCAACTTCTCTCAACATACTTTTTTCAATATATTTATTTATGTAATTACAAATATAATAATTTCAAGGACAATAAAACTATACTTACAACTTTTTTATACAACTCTGAGGTGACAGTTCGCGATCGATCAGTTTGTATTTGGACAAATAAAACTCATTACAGGTTGATCAATTGCGAACTATCAAATAAAGGTTATATGAAAAAGTTGTAAGAGTAATGTTGCTCTTTCAAGAATTAGAATTAAGATGCATGCCACTTTGTTCACTAGTTCATCAATAATACTAGATATGTGAGACTGGTTTCTCAAGATATATTGAGTTTCTTTCTGAATAAAGAGGTGTAATCTTAAAATAAATTAAAGAAATAAATAAATAGATATATACCTGCCCAAGTATAGGCTCTCGTCCAGAATTAATGAACCAACAAAAGCTACTACCACAAGCATAAGAGGGCCAAATACAGATACAAATAGAGGTCCTCTCATTTGCACACACCAAAACATCAACGTCATCACCAAAGCAGAAGAAAGAATTCCCTGAAACATGAAAAATTCTTGAACATTACACAATCTAACCTTTAAAATATGGTTTTTGTCTTCTGTTTACGATATTCATTAAATAAGAAGAATGAAAATAAATGGGTAAAATACCGTATAAGCTACAGTAAGAAGCCTAATATTAAAGCCTAACTTCCATTGACTCCAATCCTTTTCCTTGCAAAGGGCAAAAACAACCGACTCGATTGCTGCCATCAGAGACACCAAAGCTGTGATTGAATAATGACATGGATATTGCTCACTCATTTTAGCCTGTAAATATACAAAATAAATTGATTTGATGTAAAAGCTTGACATTTATACCAAGTTAAACATTTATACAAATATAAGCAAAGTTTTAATTACCTGAATGATCAACCACATACCAAACAAGAAGCAACCTACCACAGACAATAGACAGCCGAAGAGGGTTTTGGCAAGAGATTCTGACTGGTGTACCTGTGATACATTTTGGTCTAGGAGGTTTATATTCGTTGACCAAATCTTAATCTCAACTCCCTTGCAAAATGTGAGGACCATCGCCCCAACTATTCCAATTAATGTTCCCACCACTTTCGCCTTCCCAGCCAGTGTCCATATTCCGGCCACCTTCTCTAATCTGCCATAAATTTGACAACAACAACCTAGATCATTATTAGAAATAAGAGATATAAGAATTTTTCAATATAAATGTTTTGTTTAAATATCTTTAAACACAATTTTTGAAACAAGCCTAAAGTTAGTGTAAAATACCATATAATTGATTTACATGTCACTTTATTAAATTGTATTTTAGTTTTAAAAGTAATTTTTGAATAGAAAACCCAACAAGCTGGAGTTTTATATGGTTGACGGTGACACAGGTATAAATTTTTAAAATGAAGTATGTAAACCTTTTCCTAGTGTTATCCATTCATGGATAATAATCAAAAGAAGTACTCCTAATTACTTATCAGTAATTGACAGGAGGATGCCAAATTGCCGATTAATATTGCAATTTTAATCCAAGGCCACCTTATCATTTTGGATAATATACCATTAAATCCTCATTAATATCCGTTGAGTATATGTTATGATAGTGATTTTGGATGATCAATATCTATGTATGGGGCAATTGTTAAAGAAAAAGAAGAGGTGAGTACCGTACCCAAAAGAAAGAGCCAAAATATAGGTGACAGCCGGAGTGAGGTTAGCCATGGCTGTTACAAATGTTGCTGATGTTAAGACCATGCTCTCCAGGTACAAAAATTGATAGAGTGTAGCCCTGCAATTAAATGGTTAGATGTACTAGCATTGTGTGCCAAGAATTGTTTCTTTGATTTTATTATTATTATTATTTTCTTCTAACCCTCAACTTCAGTACACTATAGATGTGTTGACTTACCCAAACAAGCTACCGATAAAAGCTTGAAACAGTATCATCAAATTTAGTTTTGGCCTTCTCTTCCTGCAAAAGCAAATTCTAAGAAGCATTACAGACTAATATAACTGACCAAATAGAAGCTTTATTATAGTGATTTACTCTTTAAGCTTTCCTAAATATTCTAATCAAACTCAAGAAGGTTAGCTTTCATACTAAAATATTGATTTATTAATTTTCATAATAAAAAAAACTGATTTTTTTTTTTTAAATTTCATAATAAAAAATTGATTTATTGAATTTCATAATAAAAAATTGATTTATTAATCTCTGTAAATAAATATTAAATGGAATATTTATTTTTGAAATGAAGATTCAAGTGAGTTTCCTTATTTTCAGCCAAAGAATAAGAATAACAAAAAACCAAAAAAAAGGGCATCCAAGAGAAAGGAAAACAAAAAATTACTGGAAGAAAATGGCCAAACCTTTCAACAAAGAAAGCAAGAGGGACCATAACAACTGTGGAGAAAATGAATCTATAAGCGAGAATAATACTGAAGCTCATTCCATCAATAACTGCAAGTTTATACAATATAGTTCCTCCTGCATAGACCACTTGAACCCCAGCCATCACCAACGCTGGTTTCAATTCATTTATGAAACTACATATATGACCCATCATGCTTAATATATATATTTAGATGACTGAATGAATATAACTTCAGTCTTTTGCTTAAAAGGAAGAAAAAGCTAATCTATGGGACATGTGATAGTTGTTGCTATAATTTTAATGGTAGTTTTATAGTTGATTCATTGCTAGGAGTTGCATTTGTTATTTACAAAATAGTAGTTTAGTGGCCAGCAGTGATGAATCCACTTAAAATGTTTTTCTTTATTTATTTAACTATTACTTTTTTTTGGCCTTTTTATTTTTACTATAATGAAAACTTGTAATCTTATCTGACGTGAAAAAAACTATTTAATGTAATCTCATTGAATCAAAGAATTTTTGATGATTAAGATTAGATTCTAATGTGCATAATTAATTGTATCGGGGCAATGAAAATGGTAGAAAAATTTCCAACCGTAGAAAGTGCTTAGTCTTATGATATATAGTTATTTTTATTTGTGTATAAGTAAGGGTCGGGACATAGCGAATTTTAGTATATTATTATTATTATTATTATTATTATTAGGTATTCGCAGCGTATGCACACCTCGACTAATCTCCCTAGACCCAATGAATACTCTACAAGTCTAATGTTAGGTAAACCACAAATTAAATTTGGTAGGTGTGTCCCAAATTTCGAATCTAAAGTCATAAAGGGAACAAACCTTCTTGACCCCTAAGCCAACACCTTGGGGTTGTAGCCAAGATTTTAGTGAGTGGGTTAAGACATCTAAATTAAAAATTTACGATAAAATATATACTAAAGTAATAAACATAAAAATGTATTTTTAAAAGTTATATAACCAAATTATCAATTCTACAATTGTCCTCGATGATTTTCATATTCTGAAAACGTTGCATATTGCTTCATTGACAATTCCATCAAATATCTCTCTCAATATATGTAAAAGACAATCATTAATAGTAATCTCACATTTGATTCCATAATTAATTTTTAACAATCATCATCAAGAAAATGTTCTTTCAACACTTGCAGTTGCGAGAGGTAATTCAATGCTAATTTTATAAGAAATAAACCAAGTGAGAAAAAAAATAAAAAATAAAAATTTATATCAGAAATATAATTAATTGTAATTACAAATAAAAAAAAAAACCACAATTTCAAGAATTAACATAGGCTAACCTTAAAACTTTCGCATTCCACAACTTATACAATAATTACAACTTAATTTACCAAAATTCAACTCAATAACTTGGGTTTTTCCAACAATTTCTACTATCCAATACAATTTAACTTATAAACTCGAAAACTCATCAAATCCAACCTAAATATCAAATAATTAATCAATGAATAATGTTACAACTAAGTTATCACACCAGACAAAAATTGTACAAATTTATATGAAATGACTACCCTGTCCTATGTTTTTGCCTGGTTGTATGTCTGATTATATAATCCAGTTGTAAGCATAGCATTATTTCTTTTCTTTCAATGCATCAACTAACACATTGGCTGCATGCTATCGATACAGCTGGTGATTCTCTTCTTTCCTTGGCAATAATAGTCGTCAGATCAAGACTCTCCTTTGTTTCCTTTCCTTTGACCATCAAATAAGTAGCTCTGCTTACTATTTAAAAAAGTTTCAGTGGAGAAAGTAGAATTAGGTTTTGTTTTTGACTTGAGGTTCATAGCAATGACTTTTCAAGACGATCATATACCATATATTATTAATCAAAATCAAACGAAATCCCTAAATCTCTATACTTAGGGTTTCATTAATTCTTTAAACCATTCAAATTAACTCATAACTAACTAAATTTATCAAACCCAACTTAAAACAACAAATTAACCCTATACCTCACATAATATATTAAATCAAAACTTATATTAAAATTTAGGAATTTAATCTTACAAATTCAAACCCATTTATTAAACTCAACAAAAACCCATAACTCATGATTTTTCATCAATTAAGAAAGCTAAAAGAAAAGAATTTTAAGTAGAATAAAAAAAAATAAAAAAATGAACATCATCTTACCTTGTAATCCAAAGGAGTAGCATTCCGTGAGTATTCAACCAAAGGAAAAAGATAATATAAGAGAAAATTGGAGAAAATGAAGAAGAAAGAAAAGTTAAAACAATATTGATTAATAATTCATTTATGTGGGGTTAAAATTATAAATTTCATAAAATATAAAGATTTTTTTTTTTTTTTTCTAAAAAAAATAGTTGAATAGGCTTAATTGAACCCACGTGTTTGTATGTGACTAAGTGCTTGTAAGGGGCCATTGATCCTGGTTTCAAAACATTGTTTCTGTCATTGGTTACGTCTTATGATATATAATTAATGTTATTGCTGGCCTTTTCGAGTGACGCCAACAACTGGATTAGCAGCAATTGAAAAATAAATAAAAATGCATGGCGTCAAAAGGTATCAAATTAATCCAGATAATAGTCATTCCCACTGAGCAAATGCTCTACGGAAGAGAGGAGATTAGTGATAACTGACAGTTACGTTAGTCATGGCCGTGGCAAATGTTCCCTTAGGAATTCAAGCAGTGTTTGAAAGATAGGTGTATTGCTTTATTTATTACTGTGGTTCTTAAAATGTGCTTTATTAGGTCACAGTATGTGCCTCTAGTTTTCTTGCATTAATTCTCATTAATTTCTTTCATATTTTCATCTCAACATTATTGGGTTAGATAGATAATGAGTTGCATTTAACATTCAAAAAATAGTACTTTAGTTGCCAGCAATGATGAACGACTAAAAAAGTTAATTAATTTGCTTCATATTTTCATCTCAACATTATTTTCTTAATTAAAATGTTCATTAATAGATTAGATAGATAATGAGTTGCATTTGTCATTCACAAAATAGTACTTTAGTTGCCAGCAATGATGAACCACTAAAAAAGTTAATTAATTTCTTTCTTTATTTTTGTTTCTTTTTTGTCAAAATTTATGAAAGTCAGGACTCAAATCTTGCTCCTTTATTCTCGAAATTTCCTCATCAAAGGAACTCGTTTATCATTTATTTAAAACCCTTTTGTAATAGATAAATTAATATCTGTAGGAGAATTTCATTAGCAATTATGCTTATTCTTATGGGGTATCTCTCTTTTAATCGGAATATCATTTTCAACCCCATGGAATAGATAAACTAATATGATTGAGAGAATTTCACAGGCTGCTATTATGCTTATTCTTATATCTCTTTTAATCCGTATACCATTTATAAAGTATATAAATTAATTGCTGAAATCGCAAGCACAAACGTCTAATCTGAACCACTGAACCATTCTACATTAGTATAAGTCGTAGGCATTTTAAAGAGCACTTTGAACTCGACCGAATTCGAATGACTTAAAGTTTCAAATATATGCCGATGATACACAAGAATTAAAGAAAAGATGCTTGAGTTAAAAAGACCATTATTATATGTTTGTCTGCCACTTAATGAGTAGAATATTGAACATTCTTTTGCACAAACAAAGAATATTAAACCTGTAGAATATTTTTTTGTCAAACTTATGCTGTATGTGTGCGCAATTGCCAAACTTACATTTTTGGCTTGTTTCGTGATGAGTGTGTGCACAACAGTTATGTGCTCGCACACTCGCGTCAGATATTTTTAACTTGGCACAAGTTGCGTTTTTCTTTAAAGCAGCAAATATATTTATTTTTATCTATTGAGTTGTCTTAAGGACCACATACAAGTGTCACAATATCCATTTATGGTCCAAGGGAAAAACCATGCTTTTTCCCGATTTCGTTGTGGTCTAAAATTAAAGTTGGAATCTTGTCCTCATTTGGACAAACATGAGTTAGCCATTGTTTACTAACTTGGCACAAATTGTTGAGCAAAAAAAATCATCTTTGTATTCCTCTTTCTTGCATATTTGTGAACTAACCTTTTGATATTTGTTTTGCTTGTGCTCTGAAATTTTCAAAGAGTTTTTATTCCTCAAAGGTTCACCTTATGTTATTGTGTCAAACCTTCATCATCTTATATCCTTACTAGATGATGTTTGGAACTTGGTTCCATTGTTGATGCTGGAGCGTGGCTTCGGCATGTCAAGCTTAGGTGGAGCTCAAGTGTTGTTTGGGTGTGTTCCCGACGTAAAGAGATCCTTTGGAGCAATAGACATTAGAGATTCAAAAGGTGGTGTTTAGTGTAACTAGAACAAGGAGTTCTCCTTGTTGTAGCTAAAATCAACTTCGAACTATATCTTGTCATGTTTGTTGTTTAGTGGATTTGCTTTGATCTGGATGAGGTCTCATGGATGTAGGCTAAGAGTGGTTTTAGCCGAACCATGTATATGATGGTGTGCTTTAGATTTATTGTTATGGATGTTGATTCATGCTTAAATTGATAACCATTAATTAACTCGATAAAGACTTCCACTGCACTTTAAATGTGTACCTAAATGCTAACAAGAGTTCATCAACTCTAATAAGTGGTATTAGAGCTTATTTTGATATGATCTTTCAATTGATCCTCGGCCCTTTTGCTTGCTTTTGTGTGCCCCTGATTGGTTTTATGTTTGGTTGAAATCTGGTCTGTTAACGTGTTCTATTTTTGATCTGCTGCTTATTTGTGTGTGCACTTCAGTTTGCTGCGCTCACGTCCGTCTGAGTGTTTACCGTCATGAGCTTCTTTACTAAAGAAGGGTTAGCTCAAAAACCTCCTCTGTTAGAAGGTCCTAATTACTATACATGGAGACCTAGAATGCATTTTTTCCTTAAGTCCATTGATGAAAGAGTTTGGTCCACGATTGTGAATGGTTGGACAACCCTGGTTATTGTTGAAAATGAAGTGTCTAGATCAAAACCGATTACTGATTAGACTACTTCTAAGTTAAATCTTGCAAATTATAACTCTAAAGCCATTCATGCCCTATTCAGTTTTTTTAATGTGAATCAAATGAAAGTAATAGCTAACTGTGAGCTTTCCAAGGATGCTTGGGATAGGCTACAAGTAAAAAAAAAAGGCACTAGTTCTGTTAAACGAAATAGACTTAGAATTGTGACTGATTTTGAAAATTTGAATATGCATGAAGATGAGACTATCACTGATTTTTATGGTAGAGCTTGTGGTGTGTCTAATGAATATTTTGCTT